AATCCATTTTTACTAGCAGGGCAGAAATAGGTCTGTCATTTCGCCGAAAATCAAATAACCGATAAGTTTATTTTAATAACAATTATTTCACTGACAGCACTAACCTTAACTCTAATTCTAAATCTGACTCTAACGACAATGGCCAGAATTACTTTGTCGGTGAAATGACTGCCGGTTAAATAAACTGTCAATTAAATAGACTTGTCGGTTAATTGATATTCGGTGAAATGACATAGACCTATTTCTGTTCAGTTAGTAGAATGGATTGTTACTTCGGTGAAATGGTATTTCAGAAAAATGGACTTCGGGAAAGTGAGCAACAACCAACTGTCCCATGTACAACACTGCCCGCAGGGGCCCAAACATCAACCGGTCAAATTTTAATACGACAGTCATTGATGCGTAGCTGGTATTATCCGTCAGATTACATCGGGCATAACGTGGAGAGTATAAAAAAAGGGTTACTATTAGAAATTTATCAAACGAGCAACTATTTCAATGCATCGATCTGTCCAGTGAATTTTTAAGGTACATGGGAAGGTTTATTGCAGGGCCAGTGTTGTGCCCTTAAAATAATGGATTTATAGACCAATTGGAATGAATCTCATTTGAACCATTCCAAGTGTTCCAAAAATTTAAATAGAATACAGGTTCAATAAATTTTATTTAACAAATAATGGGTTGTCACGTGAAACGCCTTATACCCAATCAAATTACAGTATTGAGTAAGTTCCACGAACAAAATGTGCAATTTTATTTACTAATTTTATCGCGGTTTTCAAATGGTTGAAAAGGCAGATAAAAATTATTGTGGTGCATACTGCGAATATCGATGCCCAATTTTGCGTGTAAAATCGGGCATCGACCTTTAATCAATATGTTAAGGTAATCGAGTATTCGCAGTATTTACCAAAATAATTTTTATCTGCCATTTCAACCATTTCGAAAATCGCGATAATTTCTTTAATCAAATTTTTATCTGAAAATTTTTTTCGTGCTTCATAACACCTAATAGTTTTATGCTCCAAACCAGAGACCCTAAAAATTTCGAAAACAATAATTTATTGTTATTGAATATCGCATTATAAAACCTTTTTTTTATGCATGTGAAGTAAAAAAATTCGCAAATTGATTGGTTAACTATCTTAGTCTGCCAATCATATTAGTGTATTGTATAACTTCACATGCAAGAAACAAATAAATTATATTTGAAATGACATTTACTTTTTTTCTCAAGTACGAAGTAACTAGAATAACACGCATACTTATCAATACTTAGCCAAGGTAAGTAATTTATATTGAGATTACTTTTTAAAAGCTCAAATGGATTATTAAATTTTTTAACCATATATGACTTCAAAAAAATGGTAATAATAAAGATTTAAACTAATTTTCTATCTTGCGCATTAATTTAATATTGCTATATACCAATTCTATTCGCACCCAAAAATTTAAGATATTTATTTTTAGAGTATATTCTTTTAATCAACGATGTATCAGTAATCGAAGTAATAAAAACAAATAATTTGTTTGTTTAAACAAAATCGGGCAACAGTGATAGAAGTTAAATCGTTGATTGTGATTTAGGTTAAATAGTTGCACTATAAGATATGAATAGTATTTATTTAATTAATAGTATAAATAGCGACTCTGCAATAACTAAAATATAGAATAGAATTATTTAATATTAAAGAGTTTCGCTTATAATTCATTGATAAATCATCGGGTCAATAGTCATGCATTGATCAATATAACTATGCCAACTTTTATATCGCAATAAAAATGTTGCGGCTGATGCTGATGCTGAAATTTGGACCTATTTTGATATGAAATTTTAAAAAATTTTGGAGTAGTCTGCTCTGGCACTTCAGTTTTCTATTTTATC